AGTTTAGTTTTCCTAGTTGTCAAAAGGTCATTTTTAAATTAAAGGTGTGCACATGCACACATTCCTCCCAAAATAAATATTAGTTCTCAGACACAGTACTGTCTGGAGCCGTATTAAAGGAAATCATTTCCTTAAATGCAGAGAATGTGACAGACTGTATCACGCCTTTTACACTCAAGTGCAGAATGGTGGCAGTCTCTTCCTTCCCTGTAGCTCACCTTCCAACACATTTCAAGAAACCTTCCTGCCTAGGAAGCAGAAGCCATTACAGAACTATTGATTGCTAGTCCCTACAGTGGCTTTGAAATCAGCCCTTTTTCTGTACTTAGACCAAATAACATCTCCACAGAATCCTATTCAGAAGGAGGGAGGAAATATGAGAAAAATATGATTTTCTTGTTCAGGTAACCCTCACCCAAGGATGAATGTGAGGTGAGAGTAAGACTCCTATATTTGTGTGTGTGTGTGTACTTATGTGTGTGTATACATCTGTCTGTGTGTTCTTGTATACCTGTGTGAATATAACATAGAAAATGATGTATATCTAAATGTTAGGAAGTGTTAATCCTGGATAATGGAATTAGCAGGGATTTTGTTTTTCTTCTAGGTGATTTTCAATATTCTCTATTGTATCTACAGTGGAACAATATTGATTTTATAAATGGAAAAAAGAACAATAAATACTACAAGAAAATCTTAAAAGTTATTACAGACAAAAAATTATAGTGACAATGACCTACTTGTAGGTGAGAAAATCCAACTGAAAGAAGAGCAGACTCACATCTCTTGCCTCATACTCACCCTAATTCCTGCATCAAAGGCAGAATCATAAAGGAAAAAATTGATGGAATTTCGCTACCAAGACAATTAAAACTGTATGGATATAAACAGAACAAGAGCAGCCACAAACACTGTTGAATGTCAAAAAGGACTTCTAGCATATAAAACAAAAGGTTAATATGCTTGCTAAATAAAGAGTCATTATAGATCTATTAGTAAAAAGATGACAACCTCAAAAAAATTGGACAATAATTTAAAAGGACAATCCATTAGAGAAGAAATGCAAATGGCTAAAAAATATGATAATGAATAATGCAGATTAAAATAGTAAAATACCACATTTGGTCTATGTTATTGACAAAAATTATAAAGATACAAATATTTATTACATCAAATGTTGGCAAGTGGTAGAAAAATGGAAAATTCATATATGAACAATAAGAATATAAATTAGTTTAACTTTTCCAAAATTTTCTGACAAAAAGCATCAAAAGGCTTTTGATCTAGCAGTCCCACTTTTAAAAGTTCATCTCAAGAAAATAATCAGATGTATTGACAAAAATCATGTATGAGAATGAACACATGACATAAATGCTTATTAAACAAAATTCAACTGTCAATGAGGGGCTGGTAAATTAAATTATGACATATAGTTGTTGTTGTGGTTAGGTACTGTCAAGTTTATTTTTGACTCATAGAGGTCCCATGTAACAGAGTAGAATTGCCCACAGGAATTTCTTAGATGTAAGATTTACTGGAGTAGATTGTCCCATCTTTCTTCCCTGGAGCCTCTGTGTGGATTCAAACCTCAAATTAGGTTAGCAGCTGAGCACTTAACCATTGAACCACTAGGCTCCTTAAATTATGGCATACATTTATATAGGGTAGAATATTATCTAATTATAAAACAATGTAGATTTATATTTAGTGCCTTGCAAAGATGCCCATGATTTGCTGATGCATGAGGTAGTGAGTCATCCCACAGGAAACATACAGTGGCCCTATTGTAGTCCATATGTATGTGTGTGTGTGTAAAGAAAAATATCTGTGATATAGTTAGGGACTCACTATAACATTACAATGATTAACTCTGGAATATGGCTACCAATTGTCTCTATGTCCTCATTTTGATTCTCTATATTTTGAAATGTCTCTATAGTAACTCTAAAAATACAAATCTTAGGGAAATTATCTTTACTGCTCTGGTAGCGTAGCGCCTAAGGCACTTGACTGCTAACCAGAAGGCTGGCGGTTCAAACACACCAGCCACTCCTTGGAAGGAAGGTTGCGCAATCTACTTCTATAGTGATACGCCTCGGAAACCCACGGAGGGGTCACTATGAGTTGGGTCCAAACTCAATGACACATAACAACAACAACAGTTATAGTTTGAGATGAATAGGAACCCTGAGATCCAAGGTTTGGAATAGCTAGCCAGAGAGAGAGCACATAGGGGAAAAAAATAAAAATTAAAACATGAAGACAACAAAACACCATGTCTGGAGACAGATAAATTTAAAATAGGCATCTTTTCTTTGCTTTAGAACATGGGATTTATATAAAATACTTTCTTGGGGACTCCTTAGTGGATAATTATATGATTCTTGTCACTTTAATGCTGTCTTTGATGTTTGCATATGATTATAAATCAAAGTAAACATTTTAGGAATTATCAACACCTCTGCCTTTCTCTGTATTTTTTTTTTAAATGTAGATTGTTAAAGATAATAATAACAATAATAAGTGAAAAATTTGGGGTAAGACATTTTAAAACCCCTATCTTTCAAATGCTCTCTTGGCTGCAACATTGTTGGCCTTTGCTACAATTACATTGCACTTGACATTGCTTTTACTCTTTTATGTAGCAGCATGTATGCCTTCTGACCCAAGTGAGAGGAACAGGATGGAAAATAACTCATTGCAAATGTCACTTTGATGTTCATCCAGCCACATGCTGTGACTATGCTTCCTCTTTTGCAGTCCTCATGTATGGAACAGGCTAGAGGGAGCATACAGTCTTGCCAACTCCCACACAGCAGGACTGCCACAAAAGCTAGTGCAATTTTTTAGAGCAAGTATTTCAATACAATGTACTGTTTGATCTAAGCGTTCTGTGTGGAGGAGTCTGTGCATGCTAATTATATGAAGAAAAAATCATTCTCCTCTACAATCACATTTTCTTTCTTTTCTTTTTCATTTTTTTTTTTTTCCTTTTGGCTGTAAAGACCTAATCTTTAGGAACAGAAATGTAATCAGAATGCATAGCATATGAAATTCTCTAATCATTAAACTATGTGAATCTTCATCCAGTTGTAGGCACAATAGCAGGGACACACCTGTATATAATGAAGCACTCCCTCCTATAATTATCATGGAAGGGACGCCTAGAAAGCCCTAATGTATGAAAGGACTAAAATGAAAGAGTTATAGTCACTCTTCTATTGTGCACCTTTTCAAATTCAAATGATTTCAGAATTGGAAATTCATTAAACAAACTGACTTATATCTTTTTATACTGTAGGATTTTTTTTTTCCTTAAAAAAACAAAAACAAAACCCTTGGATCAACCAGCCATGAGACATCAGAGGGGCAGCATTCACATAGAAGGAAAGCTGGACACACAGGAATACATAGGTAAGAAGGGCACAGGGAGAGGGTAGTCACAAGGAGGAGAGAGGAGGAGAGGTTTTTATGGTTGGGGTTGGTAATTGGGGCCATGAAATCAAATGTGCATGAACAATTGAATGTAAAACAAATCTGCTTTTTACATTTGCACCCAAAGCACAATAATAAATAAATAAAAATACTTAAATGGTGAGAGAACTGAGTGCCTGTTTGGGGTGTCAAAAAAACAATGTCTCAACTCAGCTGAGGAATAAAGCCTTAGTCTAGAGGGCTCCTGTTTGGTGCCTGATTTCTCCACCTAATTCTTGAATTCTGTTTTCATAGTTGCTCTGCACCTAAATATTAACGTCAGAGATTTATGGTTTAAATCAACATAATGTTTATTTCGCAAATTTTATATTTCTTTTTTTTTTCTTTTTGCATAGTTGTTTCTAAGAACTTATCCTAACTTTGCCTCCCATTAGGTTTAAACTTTATATGGAAGTTTTATAGTACATACAAATATATACGTAGAAATATGGTCTGCCAGACCTACATATGGTAGTGGGTACATTCCCATTCACTTATCCATACCTGATCTTCTTGCCTGTTTACCTACGTATCCACCTGTAGATTAGTGTTGCTGCTACTGATAAAGCAGTGTTGTGTATGCAGTAGTATTTGCCTTTATTGTCTGTACCTCTTGTGCACCTCTCCATGTCTTCCTTTTCCTTAATGATATTGTGCTAATTACATGCTTTTGTTATGTTGCTTTTCCCTTCTTTTTTCTTGATGTAAATTCTCAGAAGTTTAAAATACACACTTACAAGCAAACACAGAAACCAGACTAGGAACTCAGGACCTTCAATAATTGCTGACTGTGCTAAGCCATACAAGTGCTTTTTAAAGTTTTAGTAAATTTGAGTTTATATTTAAGGTGTAATCATCCTTTTACTACTAGTAAGATTGGACATCCTAGAGAAAATTAGGTAACTTCTAAGGCATGTGTGTGTGTGTGTGTGTGTGTGTATGGTTCTCATTAGATAGTTTCTATATTGTCCTAGTGACCAATTATTTCATCTTAATTTATTTCCATGTAGTAGGTATATGCTTTTTTCTCTATAAATCATGAGTCCAAATGAGAAGAAACCTAATATTTTACCATAACAATAAGAAATATTTCTTTCATGTATTAATCTATAAAATCTTCAAAAAAAATACAGTATTAATGCAGATTTTTAAGACTAATGTTGTTTTTGGGAAAGCATGTTTTTGAACACATTAAGATTCCTAAACATATATGTAAAGATCAGATCCCAGAGAATTCCTGGCAATTGCAAACTTGTGATTTAAATAAGTCATACCTCAAGGTCTTCTAAAAAGTAACTAAGAAAAGACTATGTGATAATAACTTAATATGTAAGATAATTCAGACAATTTGTAAATTAACATTGACATTGACCAATGATATCTGCAGTAAATGCCTTTGCAATCTTATTTACTAAAAACAATATAAATACTTATAAAAATTAAAAATTCTGACTTGGACAGGAAATTTTAGCACCTTTCTTCCAAGATTTTATATTTGATTGCTATTATTAAAAGAAAATACTTACTCTTCCACGTATATTTTCCTGTAAAAGAAGGAGGAAAAAAGTGAATTCATGAAAATCTATATATTTAGGGTAATATGTAAGCATTATAAAACCTTTACAATTTTATTATATAAATTGATAAGTGATTTTCACAAGTGTGCTATAGAATTAGGCTGATTATTTTATAATCATGTCCCTAAATTTTATTTTAGTATGCATACTATTTTTATTTCATGCTTTATATAAAGTTAAAAACTATTCATTCAAATTACAATAAACTTTGTTAATTTGGAAATGTATTCCACTTAAATTTGAATCCCTTAGACATGCAGTAGGAGAAATCAGGATTACAAAGGAAATGCTTAATTGATTTACAGAAAACCATTATCAATTGTTCTAGAATATCTCTGTATATGGTGTTGTGGAGATTATAAATAATTCACCTACTGAATAAAGTAATTGCTGCTACGTATTGCTAGCTTGTACGACTCCCATTTTGCTCAAATAAAACTAAAGTTCATTGCAGGCAAGGCATTACTTCATTTCCTTTCTCTTCAATGCTTCATTACTTACTTACTTCCCAAATCTGTGGCAACTATACAGGCCTCCTTGCTATTTCTAAAGCCAGCTTGCTCCTGCCTGTAGGCCTTTTCATTTGCTGTTCTTTCTGCCTAGATGCATCTTCCTTTAGACACCTCTATGGGGATCTCTGGTGGCATAGTGCCTAAGGCACTTAACTGCTAACCAGGCTGAGGTTCAAATCCAACAGCCACTCCTTGGGAGGAAGTTTGGGCAATCTACTTCTGTAGTGATACCACCTTGGAAAACAAGGAGGGGTCCGCTATGAGTTGGATCTGACTCCAGGGCAGTGTGTTTGGTTTTGATATGCCTTACTCCCTTATCTCTTTCAGGTTTTGCCTCCAATGGCCCTCTTATTAAAGCCTTGAGTCATGGTGGCACAGTCATTAAAGTGCTTGGCTGCTAACCAAAAAGTCAGCAATTTGGACCCACAAGTGGCTCCTCAGGAGAAAGATGTGGCAGTCTGTTCCTGTAAAAATTTATAGCCTTATGAACACTGCAGTGGAAGCTCTGGTGGTGTACTGCATAAAGGCATTTGACTACTAACCAGAAGGCTGGCCATTCAAACCCACCAGCCACACCTCGGAAGGAAGGTTGGACAATCTACTTCTGTAATGATACCCTCTTGGAAACCCAAGGAGGGGTCGCTATGAGGTGGATCGGACTCCACAGCAATGCGTGGCATTTGCATGAAACCCTGTAGTGGAGTTCTACTCTGTCCTGTAAGGTCACTATGAGCCAGAATCGACTTGATGGCAGTGGGCTTGGTTTGGGATTGACACCTTCCCTGATCACCTTTTCTAAAAATTGTATCCTATCCTCCTGTACTCTTTATCATCACTGCCTGCTTTAATTCTCCCCTTAGCACTTACCACTTTCTAATATAGCCTCTATCTTACTTTTTTAGTTTATTGCCTATTTCCCTACTCCACAAAGGTAAGGATTCCTACTTGCTTTGTTAACTGCTGTATTCTCAGTGCTGAGAAAAGGAACTGGCGTAGTCAAAATTTGTTAATTGTTGTTGAATTAATTGTTGTTGTTGTTATGTGCCATGGAGTCGGACCCAACTCATAGCGACCCCTTCTTGGGTTTCTGAGGCATTATCACTATGGAAGTGGATTGCCCAACCTTCCTTCCGAGGAGTGGCTGGTGGGTTTGAACCACGAGCCTTCTGGTTAGCAGTCAAGTACCTTAGGCATTAATTAGCAATAAAAAGTGGTAAGAATTCAAGTTAAATGTAAGGAATAAAATGGATGAATGATGAATTTTTTTCTCTGAAAACCTCCCACACAGAGATGAAATAGTAAGTTTCTATCTAGGTGGTGCAAATAGTTGACATCCTTGATGGCTAACTGAAAGGTTGGAGGTTCAGTCTACCCAGAGGCCCCTCAGTAGAAAGGTTTGGTTATCTCCTGAAAAATTGCCTTTGAAAACCCTATGGGGCATGTGGCATCTGACATACATGCAGTCGTCAACTCAATAGCAACTGGGTTTTTGTTTATAACTTTATCACATTTGCCTCTGGCTCCCAACATTTTAGAATACAGTGAATGTTTCCATATTAAAAAAAAAAAAAAAAAAACTCTGTGACCTTATCTCATAATAGCTGATGATAGTCTTCCAGCATTCAGTAGTCAAGGGGGAAAAATTGATGATAATACATACATTGAATTTCAAATACTTCAGTATTTGAAATTTTTATATAATTTATTTTGTTGGTCTCAATACTCCATAAACGTGGAGAACAGTGATATACCTATCTGTGAAGCACATTGTTGCCTCCATCTTCAGACTTATTATGGGAATGAATTTCTGGACATCTTGATGAAATAAGGAGATGTTGCTATCCAAGACCTCTTTGTTGGGACTCAACCGCAGCATAATAATGTTTTTTCAATCAGCAGCTGCCAAAGTTTAAGGCAATTATTAACTGCTATTGACAAGGTCTCCTACTGCAATGAAGGAAATTGCACCACCACCGTTGCCCAATAGTTGCTTCCATTCATTTCCTTGAAGCTCACATTCTTTTCCTAATTACTATTCCTTTTGGAAGCATTTCATTTGCCAAATACTCTGTTGATCATAATCAGACAATTCTGTGGTGAATATGAGTAAAAATAAAAATATAATTTCTATGGAAACAAACAGGTAAACAATGTAATCAGTTAGGAACCAAGACACATGCTTTGAATTTGAAAGAAAAGATTATTCTTTTAACTCCTAAGAAAAACATTTAAAAAACTCTTTCTGTTTCTATTTCATTTATTTTTAAAAAGTTAAGCCTAAAAACTGTCATTTATAATGGAGTATAATCATGTTTAATATAAGCACACTATTTATAAAAAGCCTTAGGTATTTTCCAACAGGAGAAATCACAGTATATGGAGGAGTGGCCCTGCATTGTTTGCTTTCATTTGCTCTCAATTTTTTAAAATCTCCATTTTGGGCTAAAATTTTCCAGGATTTAATCCAGCCCAGGCTAATCCAAGAAGGAAGAAGTTAAATTGTGTCCATTTACCCTTTTATGGGATAAAGTAATTTAATATATCTTCTACCACACCTCTTATCCTCATGGACGTATTATAACTCAACTGATAATTAAGTTTTTTATGTGGCTACACACTGGTGGCGTAGTGCCTAAGGCATTTGACTGCTAACCAGAAGGCTGGAGGTTCAAACCCAACAGCTGCTCCATAGAAGGAAAGTTAGGCAATCTACTTCTGTAGTGATACAGCCTTGGAAACCCAAGGAGGAGTCGCTATGAGTTGTATCCGACTCGAAGGCAGTGAGTTTGGTTTTTTTTAGTTTACTCCTTACGGAGCATAGTCTTTGTTCAAACATGACGCCATATGAGAAGAAATAGAAAGCATTTCTAGAGATGATTTTAAATTTTACTTGGAATATTCCATTAGAATATAAAGAATTATAAAATAGGGTAAACAAGTTGAAGTCTACTCCTTTAGATTTTGTGTTGCATGAGCTTTTAGCTTCCTTCCTAGATGGAGATGCTAAAGTAGCAACATGAGCAGCCAAAGTGCCTAGATGACTAGAAGTTAGTTTTCCTCCTGAGGATTGTGTCCTTGGTTAGGAAGAAGAAAAATATAAATACATTTATAACGACTAGACATGAAGCTAGAAATGTATCTTCCATCTATCCAAAAACTTAGGGAAGCCTATCTATTCTTTTCCTATTATAAAATAAATAGATTTCTAGAGACTCTGAAATGTAGAGGGGACTTAGGAGATATTTATAACAAGAAAAACAGAAAAAGGAGGCAGTAGACAGGATGTTCTAATTATAGCTACATTTGCATTTATAGTCGTTCCATTCTTCACTTTCCTCCAAGAGATCTGAAACCTTAAATAACCCCAAAGAGACTAAGTAACTGGATCTTTGGCAAATAATCTCCGTAAATTTAGAGACTGGATTAATACAGTATTATACACAACTTTAAACCAAATCTGACTATATAGGACAGAGTAGAACTGCCCCACCAGGTTTCCAAGGCTATAAATCTTTAGGGAAGCAGACTGCCACATTTGCCTACCAGCCGGTAGGTTCAAACTGCTGACCTTTGGTTAACAGCAGAATGCTTAACCACGGAACCATCAGAATTTCTTACACACAACTTTAGGGGTTACTAATGAGATTCTGGAGGAGCTCTGATGGTACAGTGGTTAAAGCATTTGGCTACTAACCAAAAGGTCAGTGGTTCGAACCCACCAGCCACTCAGTGGGAGAGAGACAAGGTAATCAGCTTCCATAAAGACATACAGCTTTAGAAACTTTATGTTCAGTTCTGCTCTGTTCTATAGGGTCACTTTGAGTTAGAATCCATTCAATGGCAGTGGGGATTAATGAGATTCCGTAAATACTCGTTGCTGAAAAAATAAAAACTTGCAGCTTTCCGATTTATAGGCCAAAGGTGCACATATAGTGTTGTGTTTCTGGATAGACTTCTTTTTCTCCAAACCCTGAAATTGCTGCTTGGACTGTATCTACATTAGTGAAAAAAGCCCATGTACTTAGGTAAAGCAGGGGGTGAATACTGTGGGCTTGATTCCTTCTTACTTCTTAATTCTTGACTATGTATCAAAATAACACCTGAGAGTGCTTGTTAAAAGTCCAGATTCCTGGACTGGACCCCCAGCCTTTTTTTCAAATCTCAGATGGAGCATAGGAACCTTCACTTTGAATAAGCTGGCTGATCAGATGCAGGTAACTCACATAGCCAGAAACAAAGCCCTAACTTTTCGTAGTAAATCATTGCCCTAATGTTGCCTTTGCAACAAATATAATTTTCTTTTTTGAAAGATAATGGGCTTCAAAGAATAGCCAAAGGTTATAAGCACAAGTCTCTTACAGACCCAGCAAATTTCTCTGCCACTCTTTTGGAAATTAGTCTTGAGCTGCACCGTGACAGCTTAGGGTGTGTTATTTAGATTAACTCTTCTGCAGT